GTAGTCTGCAGACAATTTAAGTTAATGATTAAAAATGTTAATAATTTAGTCAACAGGCATAAATGTCATCAATATCTGTTGTCTGTAATGAGGAAGAGTTTGACTGCAAGAATAGATTTAAACTACTGTGTATCTATAATTCCATCATAAAGCAGAACAACCCACTACTCAGTGAAAGGCTACACAGTTGATGCTGCATGAGGTTTCTGAACATGTCACTTTTTTTACTTTAGATTGATGACATTTTATAAAGATGGAGGAACTGATAGAGATATTAAAATAAGAATACAAAAGGCAAGAGGGGCTTTCATAGCACTAGCGAATTTGTGGAGGTCAAAAGAAATTAAAAGAAATACTAAACTAAAAATTTTTAATTTTAATGTCAAATCAGTACTATTGTGAGGGGGCGGAAAACATGGAGAACAACCAAGGCAAATTACTAATAAATTACAGACATTCATTAAACCGTGTGCCTGCGCAGAAGAATAGAGGAATAAAATGGTATGATAGAATAACTAATGTAGAAATTTGGGAGAGAACTAAACAGGCTCCAGTGGATCAGGAAGTGAGGAAAAGACGCTGGCGTTGGGATAGGGCACACACTGAGAAAACAGGAGAACAGCATAACTAGAATGTCTTTGCATTGGAACCCACAGGGGCATAGGAATAAAGGAAGGCCAAAAAACACATGGAGAAGAGAGCTGGAGAACGAGGTTAGAAAGATTGGGAGGACATGGTGAGAGCTCCATGCAATGGCGAAGGATAGAACGACTTGGCGTGAGTTGGTTGAGGGCCTATGCTCCATTGGGGGATAGAAAGGCAGAAGAAGAAGATGACATTTTCATAAACTTATTCTGGAGAAGATATGAGGTGGTTTACACTTTACTTCCACATCTACATCAGATGATGTTTGAGCATATCTTTTGGATATTATTTCTATTCTATGTCGGAGTGTTGAGAAATGAACAGAAATATATAGGCCTATTGGCTGTTTCTGCACCCCTTGGTGGTAAATTGATCAGTGCCAAGCTAGATGTTGTAAGGGCCCTTTGGGGACGAGTAAACAGCACAGAGGCACAAATAGATTCTCATGGTCTGGAGAGAATGGTGCAGTGAAGAGTGAGCAGTGCATCTGGCCAACACTAAACACTCAGGAGAGGGGGCAAGATGGACATACAATCAGACTGTTACTGGTGCCACTAGAACTGGAACTATGCAGTTGCTGCTTAGGATGGGGACAGAGCACTTATGGGAATGTCCCGTGTGCTGTAATGTTGGTTCTCAACTCTGAACACATAAATCATTTATATCAATGATTAGTTACCTACACCTTTAACAAAAACTTTGAGCTGTAACAAGTGAGTACCAGTCTGCTCATAGTTAGAGTTGTCCACGAACTGGATACTTGGTATCATAATCTGAGTTTAAGACACTCTTGTGCTCTGTCTGTCCTATACAACTAAAAGGCACATTTTAGGGTTTCTCTTCACCTAGCTCCTGATGAAGTGGTCAAGCTATTTGTCTTATGTTCTTGAGGTCGTTGGTTCATTTCAAGGCAGCATCATTTGGTTCACGAGTGCATTTTGTACGGAGATCCCTAGGGATAGTCGCCGGAGCTACAGAGTCTATGCCATGTGTGGCCCTCTCAGCAGGGGCTTAGCCATTCTGCAGAGAGAGACCAACCTGTATAAGATAAAATCCAGTGCAATGAGGTCGACCGTCTCACCTTTAACCTTTTAACTAGGTGAGACCAAAATGTTACATCTCAAATCCTCTAGAACAGAGCAAATAAACTATGTTTACTCAGAGGCCACAATTTTGAAAATGGGGACTGTCATGGATCAGATGCCCAAGTCCCAGCTTAGAAAGATCATTAATACAATACAATTGGCTATGATCCACGGGCCACATTTGGCCTGCTGGCCGCAAGTTGAATAGTCCTTCTCTAGGACTTCATGGGAAACATTTACATAGTGATTCAGTGCAGTCTGATTTTCAGTTACTGAATGGTATACTATGTATTAAGGTTGCCTTTTTACTTTGTTATAATATTTTGTGGTGCCTAATTTATTCGACTTGTTTAAAATTATGATAAAGAAATTCATCTTTGCCACTGTTAAAGGTCAGACAGCTTGCTGACCTCTGTGCTGATAAGCAGTGCTAGTTAGTAATCTCCATTACACCACAGGGTTATTAGGTTATGATACTCAGCACTCTGTTAAAACCACTGTACTGATAGGCAGTGATACTGTGCACTCTCAATTAAAACCCCTTAGCTGGAAGGCGGTGATACTGGGCAGTTTCTTTTACATTACTGTGTTGGTAGGCAGCGATAATGTGCACTCTCTTTTACATAACTGCGTAGGTAGGCAGTGATAATCTGCACTCTGTTTTACACCACTGCGTAGGTAGCCAGGGATAATCTGTACTCTGTTTTACACCACTGTGTTGGTAGGCAGTGATAATCTGCACTCTGTTTTACACCACTGTGTATGTAGGCAGTGATAATCTGCACTCTGCTTTACACCACTGTGTATGTAGGCAGCAATAATCTGCACTCTGTTTTACACCACTGTGTTGGTAGGCAGTGATGTCCGCACTCTGTTTTACACCATTGTGTTAATAGGCGACAGTGATACTGGGCAGTGTCTGATAAAACTATTCTGTTAGTAGGCAGCATTATTGAGCACTCAGTTTTACATCACTCTGTTGAAAGGCTTCTTCTTTACATTCTCCCTGCCAGTGGTTTTCAGACGAGTAGGCCACAGGCATCTATGAAGTCTGTGGTGCGTCACATGTCTTCCACAGCTCCATACAGCTCGGTTTCCATTGGAATGCCAATTAGCCAAGCCTGGGATCTCTCTACTTCATGTAGAGAGCAAGATCAATAAAAAATTCATGCCTAGGTGATATCATAATATATGCAGTTGGGTCTGTAGTGAGAGGTAAGAAGATTGGGTGGGGTTTTATTGCAATGGTGAATGGACACTGCTTGAAAACAGAGAGCCTTGCGTACAACGTCACTACATCCCATGTGAGAATGGAGGTGGAGGCTGTAACGGCAGCTTTCCGATGGCCTGAGAGCTGCACAGCCCGACATTTTGTTATTGTAACAGACTCACAGAGCATGCTTCGGAAAATTTAAGCTAGTGTCCTGCATGCAGAGTAGCTTTCATCACTTGTTAAGATCCAGATCAAGAGCATGTCATGGATTTTCTGTCCAGGATATTCAGGTGTGCAAGGTAACAAACAGGCTGATAGATTAGCTTCTGCCGCTCCTCAGGGTGGTGACCTACATGATAAAGCGCATGTGGGGAAGGCTCTATGTGATCAAATTGACAGTGCAAAAGAATAGATAGGGAATCCATACACTGAAAGATTAATTCAACAAGGGGTATGTAGGCTTTCTGGAAGATATTTGACAATAAAGAGGAAACAGAGGCCGACTTTTAATCAGGTTGCAGCTGGTACTATAAGCATGTCAGCTTGTCACTGGTTATCAAAGAGGGAGCCTGAGCATGTGTTGGAATGTCCCGAGTGCAGTGATGTCAATTTCTGATTCATTCATTCATTCATTCATTCATTCATTTATTCATTCATTCATTCATTCATTCATTCATTCATTCATTCATTCATTCAGCATGTCTGTAGCACATATTAGTATTCTGTGATACCTGTTCACATTGACAAAGTTCTGAACCCCCAGTCTTTAATTTCTTGTAAAAATGGCTGCAGAGTTTGTTGTGTCCAGAAACACAGTCTAAATATAAATAATTTCTTTCATGGTAGGCAGCGATACCAAACACTCACTGTAACACCACTTTGTTACTCATTGTTGGACTGGTGTGTTGCTAGGCATTGCTAGTAGGCAGTCACTATTACTTCATCATATTAGTAAGCAGTGATATTACAAACAACATTTTTAATTGGTAGGCAGTAATACCAGTGACTCACTACTAAATCAAGGTGCTGCTAGGCGGGGCTAGTAGGCACTCACTATTACCACTGAGAGACTGAGGCATTATCAAAATGTGATGCCCCCGTGTGGGTTCCGGGGCCCCATTGTGGGGAAAACAAGAATAGACCCACTGCCTCCCCAAAAGCATGTCGTAAGAGTCGACTAATTGGGGAGCTTCCTCTGAAGTCGGAGTGCATCTGCCGGAGAGGCAAGGAACCAACAGTCTGTATTCAAGAGATTGAGACCTGTAAAACACGCAACACTCAGGTTCTGGAGCAGGACTGCAGTTCAGAAGTGAACGAGCAACCACAACCTTCCGCCAGAGTTTACAGCTGATGAACGCGAAGAAGAAGAAGAAGAAAATGTGATACTTAAAAACTGTTTTGATTGATCATTCACATTCATTTATATAAAACATTCAGGAGTCGCCTTGACGTAGCTGCTAGACGCTCTCGTGCGGATCGAAAGGTCGGGGGTTTGCTCCCTGGCGGAGCTGGACTTTTTTCAAAAATGACCTTGACTTCCAGGTCGACCCAGCCTTGAGTGGGTACCGGTTGCAGTTCAAGGAAGTAAAGGCGGCCGGTGTGATGCTGACCGCATTATCCATCTTGTGCCGATTGGACTTTAAAAATATAGGTCTATCCCTAATTGCCCTATATGCCTAAAGGCGGGGAAAAGGGACCTTTACTATATGTAAATTATTAAAAACAGCTGTCTAATGATGCTGACATTTTTTTAAAGTAAATATTTACCATTAGAGGCGGCGTCCGTGGCTAAGGCGTTGCGAGTCCGACTCGTAAGCCAGCATACCGCGATCGAAACCTGCGTGGATTTTTATCGTGGTATGGGACGTCGCAGGTCGACCCAGCCTAAAATGGGTACCAGGATGGGCTGTCCTGGGAAAGTAAAGACAGCCGGCGTAATGCTGACCACATTTGCTGATGGTCTGTAAAAATATGGAACGCTCTGCCCATATGCCCGATGCGCCGAAAGGCGTGAAAAGGGAACTTTACTTTACTTTTTTTATTTACTTTTTATTTACCATTAGAAGCTCCACTGTGATGTTGTGCACTTTTCTTCTGGTGCTGTTGTCAATATCGGCTGCAAAGTTTAATCTTTCTCCAGGGACATAACCTTTCTGTGGAAGTCTAATCTCAGCGATGATTGGTCCAGATGTACAACATAAACAACATAGCTGCTTCTCCTTCTGGTTGTTAGTGGGTTGCTGTTGGAAATAGTTCAACAGATTATGCACCAGACATAAAAAGCTTATTAAAAAAAAAAAGATTAAACCCTCATACAATATACATTTGTTCAGAATAGTGAAAGAAAGAATGTCCAAACATAGAGAAAAATGTATTTTAAAAATGATATAAGTACCATGACTTCTAACGATTGCTTGAAAGAAACTAATGAAAGTAGATCTCTATTTACAACAATAAGAAAGAAACAAACACTGTTTTTTGGTCCCATAATGAGAAGAGAGACATTGGAGAACATCGTGACAACTGGAAAGATCAGTGGAAAATGATGAAGAGGTAAACTAAGAGAGATGATGCTGGATGGGCTGAAACAATGGCATGAAGGGATATCATCAAGAGAGCTGTTCCAGGCAGCCAGGGATCGTGATCTGTGGAGACGCATGAGCGCCTACACTAGTTGGCAGGGCACAAGATGATAATGATAAGTACTTATATATCTACTGTTGGCCAGAAGTCAACTGAAAGATACATTTATAAATTAAATTTTTATTTTATTTAACAAAAAATGACATTTTATGTATCCAAACATTATTCAAGAAGTGATAAGGTCAGTGAACAGAGGCTGGCTGAGTGGTTAGATCTTACATGGGAGACCCAAGTTTGATCCTCCGTAAAGAACGGAGGTTTTGCCTATGTGGGGCAAATATGAAATCCTAACCTGCACAGTTAGCTTTCACATCCAAACACAGGGGACTGCAGGTTACACACCGTGCTTGTGTGATCATTCTGGGTGCCCTAATTATAATATATTTGGGGGTTTCATCGGGTATCTCGGCTTACCCTGTTGGTCTACACCCAACACTGAGACCTTTCTAGTCCCACGGTGTCAAGCCTTCAGATCCTGTGGGTCTGCCACCAGCACTGAGACCTTTCAAATCTCACGGTGTCAAACCTTCAGGTCCTGTGAGTCTGCCACCGGCACTGAGTCTCATCGTATCAAACTTTCGGGTCCTGTTGCTTTTACATCCACATTGAGATCTTCTGACCTTAGAGTGTCAAACCTTCGGGTCCTGTGGGTCTGCCACCGGCACTGAGACCTTTCTAGTCTCATAGTATCACAACTTTCGGGTCCTGTTGCTTTGACATCCAGACTGAGATCTTCTGATCTGATTGTGTCAAACTTTCAGTGTGCAGCCCAGAAAGGATAAATGGTACACTTGCACATAGTTTGTGTGAATGTAGCAGCTATGTGGCTTGACCTCCCTCTATTCCTACACCACCATAAAAGTGGTGAAGGTGTCCAGTTCGGATTCAGGTGTATTTTTTTCTTTAGAAAAACCGCCAGTTAACCAGCATATGTGAGTAATATGGTACTACACACTGGTTCCATAATTTGATCTAACTTTCAAGAAAAAATTCATAGATTACATATGTTAAAGTGTCAATACATTTTTGCGAACATTTTTATAAATTTAAGCCTCTTGAGCAAGTGATGTTCAACCCTACCAGGACCGCGCAAGGAGCGTTAAACACCCGGTGACACAAAGTGCTACCATTCGGATGATAATCGCCCTGGCGCAAGCCCAGATACCGTTCAGCTGTTAGGTTATATCAGGGTTCCTGGTAATAACCGGGGTAGAGGCTTAAAAATTAATTGGGGCATTTTGTAGCAAAGCATCTATTTAAGCTTCTTGTGACAGACAAGCATGCAGACAGCAATTCTTACACTAGCAGTAGGCTCTTGATTTAGGTCCAGTGGAAAGATCACGCTGAAGAGCTTCTTGGCAGACACGTCTTTTTTCCATGGTCGTTCAATTGTAACTTTGGTCCAGTAGCGTATGAAGCCAAACTGTCCTTCGAAGGATGTGGGAGATGTTGGTGGGATTCTGAATTTGAAAGGGTACGTGTACTGTCCTGCCTCTAGTACACGCTTATCTGTCGGGTTTTGGGGACATGATGCTGTTGGAGAGATGACATATTAAATAACTGTTTGTTCTGTGTGTGTGTCAAAATTGCCATAGGATCTCATCTTAAATGACGACAACTTATCTACATTCTTCACCCTCTTTGCAGAGGCGTAGCAATGTTAGGTGTTAACAGTTCAGGAAATTTCCTGTCACTACCGCTGCCCCCCCCCCACACACACACATATATATAAATGTGCATGTATATATGCACACACACACACACGCGCGCGCACGCACGCACACACACACAATATAAATATATATGTATGTATGTATTTATTATATATGTATTATTCTAGCCTTATCATGGGAAGAGGAAATGCAACCTGAACACTTTATTTTAGCGCAGGGCAGACCAGGCTCTTAGTCTTGGCTGGCAGCTGGTCTAGGGGGGAAGCTCTGGCAGGCGGACAGATAGAGCACTGCTCTTCTGATCCGTCATTTCTATAAATAAACAGAGAGGGGAACCATTTGAGGCCGTTAAATATTATGAATTAATCAAGTAACAGAAAGTATTGTGAACGGCACTCATAGAAAGAAGTAGAAAGATAGAAGAACACACTAGACAACATAAAAACCGAAAGCTATAGTTACCGTGCCGGGAATTGAACCTGTCACCTCCAGGGGGTGCCGAGTTGACCATGTATCTTAGTGCACTTGTATTCATGGCGAGGCGCAGACGCCGTCTGGAGGTGACAGGTTCAATTCCCGGCAGGGTAACTATAGCTTTCGATTTTTATGTTGTCTAGTGTGTTCTTCTATCTTTCTACTTCTTTCTATGAGTGCCGTTCACAATACTTTCTGTTACTTGATCTCTTCTGATCCGGCAGCTTCTGTAGCCTGTTTTGTTCCAAAGGTATTGGTGTTATCTTTCCTTTGAAGCAAACAAACCAGGTCGAGTGATGGATCATTATACATGGGCAACATATGGTTCTTCAGTACTGTCCAAGCTTTGTGCTGTGCTGTATTTTAAAACACATATTTGCCGTTGTGTCACCCCCCCCCCCCTCACTGATGACATCCGATTCGGTCCCCTCCCCTGAACATCCTTTGCTAGGCAACTGCCGCTTTGAACAGCAGGGTACTCCAGGCAGTGCTTGATGTTAAGTGTTATGTTACCGATACCCTAATCACAACATCTTGGAGGGCTGAACATGATATCTGGGATTTGCCCTCTTGGTCTACAATCAAGAATGTGACTCTTTTTCCTAAGGAGGCCTTGTTGTTCCAAGCCAGGCCTAGAAGTTCCTTAAAATTGTCCTTCTAGTAGTGGTATAATCCCCCCACCCTTCCTCTTACCCCCCCCCCTCTCGCTCTATCTCTCCCTCTCCTCTCTCTCTCTCTAAATCTCTCTCTCATCTCTCTCGCTCATCTCTCTCTCTGTCTCAAACAATATTTTTTAAAAAACCAAAATTCTCCGCGCTTCACCGGCAGTTTTTTTTTGCGAAAGGGGGTGGGGGGGGGGGGGGGTGGTGGAATAGACCCGCTGCCTAGCTAACATGCATGCCGTAAAAAGCAACTAATTCGGCATTTTTCGCTGCACATCTGTCAGAGAAACCAGAACCCACCAGTCGGCATACAAGTAAGCCAGATCTGTAAAACGGATGCACGTGTAAAATTCCAGTTCTGGAACAAGATTAAAATCCAGAAGTAGATAAACAACCACAATTCTTCAGCCCGTGAATACCAAGAAGAAGAAGATGAAGATAAAACCAATTCAAACCCACTGAACCATTTCACGTGTGTCGATCTTACCTGTCCATCCACGGAAGAGCCTCCTGCTGCTCAACCAGATCGGTGTCAGGATTAAAGATTATAAAGAACATACCAAATGCTTCTTGTGATAAGCAGCAGGTGAAAAAAACTCATAGTAAAGTTTTGTTTGCTTGCTTCATTACTTTCTTTCTGTCTCTTACTTGCATTCTAAGTTTTTTTTTCATTCTAAAGGGTTTCTTTCTTTTCTTTCTTTCCTTCCTTCCTTCTTTCCTTCCTTCCTTCCTTCATTCCTTCCTTCCCCTTTCCTTCCTTTCCTTCATTCCTTCCTTCCTTCCATTCCTGCCCTTCCTTCCTTCCTTCCTTCCTTCCTTCCTTCCTTCCTTCCTTCCTTCCTTTCCCTTCCTTCCTTCCTTCCTTCCTTCTTTCTTTCTTTCTTTTCTAAATCGTTTTCTTTCTTTCCTTTCTTTCTTCTTCTTTCTTTCTTCGTCTTTCTTTTTCTTTCTTTCTTTCTTTCTTTCTTTTCTTTCTTTCTTTCCTTGTCTTCTCTACTCTTTCTTCTTTCGTTTCTTTCTTTCCTTTCTTTCTTTCTGTCTTTCTTTCTTTCTTTCTTTCTTTCTTTTCTTTCTTTGCTTTCTTTCTTCTCTTTCTTTCTTTTCTTTCTTTTCTTTTTTCCTTATCTTTCTTTCTCTTTCTTTCTTTCTTTCTTTCTTTCTTCTTTCTTTCTTTCTTTTCTTTTTTTTCTTTTTTTCTTTCTTTCTTCTTCTTTTGTTTGTCTCTCTTTCTCTTTCTTTTCGTTCTTGCTTTTTCTTCCGTCCTTTCTTCCTTCATTCTCTTCTTCTTTCTTTCTTTCTTTCTTTCTTTCTTTCTGTCTTCCTTCCCTTTCTTCCTTCCTTCCTTCCTTTCTTTCTTTCTTTTCTTTCGTCTTCTCTTTCTTGCTCTTTTCTTCCTTTCTGTTTCTTCTTTCTTTCTTTCTTTCTTTCTTCTTTCCTTTTCTTTCTTAATGTCTTCCTTTCTTTCTATTTCTTTCTTTCTTTTCTTTCTTTCTTTCTTTCTTTTCTTTTTCTTTCTATCTTTCTTTCTTTTCTTTCTTCTTTCTTCTCTTATCTCTTTTCTTTCTTTCTTTCTTTCTTTCTTTCTTTCTTCTTTTCTATCTTTGTTTCGCTTATTCTTTCCTTTTCTTCCTCCTTCCTTCCTTCCTTCCCTTCCTTACCTTCCTTCCTTCATTCCTTTCTTTCTTTCTTATCTTTCTTTCTTCTTTCTTTCTTTCTTCTTTTCCTTTCTTTTTCTGTCTTTCTTTCCTTCTTTCCTTCTTTCTTGGGGTGTGCTGGCAATTTCTTCCTTCCTTCCTTCTTTTTCTTTCTTTCTTTCTTTCTTTTCTTTCTTTCTTTTTCTTTCCTTCGTTGTTATCTTTCTTTCTTTCTTTCTTTTGGTCGTTCGTTCTTTTTCTGTAGTGTCTTTCTATCATTCTATTTTTCTTCTTTCTTTCGTGAGTTGGTATGTTTCCTTTGGTTTCATGTGTTTCTTCTTTGTAGTCGTTCTGCCTTCTCCGGGCTTCTCTGTGCGTGCTTATTCTTCTGTTCTTTGACTTTCTTTTCTTTCTTCTTGGCGACTACCTGTGCGTTGTGCGCTGTGTTCTCCTTTCTGTCTTTCTTTTCTTTGCCACACCACCGCTTCTTTTTTTCTTTATTTTTCTTTCTGGATCATTCTGTGCTTTGTATCTATCCTTTTCTCCTTTTTTCGTCGCTCATTCCATCGGGGCTGGTGCGTGCAGGCCTGTCTTTTGTGTTTGTCATTTTCTTTGTGTCAGTCGTGGTGATGGTGGGCGGGTCCCGATATCATGCTTCTGTCTTTCTTCCTTTTCTTTCTTGATTGTCCGGCCTGAAACTTTACCACGTCTGTCCCTTCCGTCCGTCCGTCCTTCCTCCGGCCTGCCTTCCTTCCGGCCTTCCTTCCTTCCTCTTCTTTCCTTCCCTTCCGTCAAGGACGTCCGGGCTTTCTTTCTTTTTTTTTTTTTTTTTTTTTTTTTTTTTTCTTTTTTGCTTTTTTTTCCTTCCTATTTTCGTTTCCTGCCTCTTCTTGTTCGTCCTACGTCCCTTTCTTTTCTTTCCTTCTTCTTTCTTTTCTTGTCGTTTCTTTTATTTTTATTGTCTTTCGGTCATTTTGTGTATTTCCGGGCGGGCGGTCGGGCGTGGGTGGTGATGTGTTTCTGTTCTGTCTTTTCCCCTTTTATTGTTCGGGCGTTCTTTTTTTCTGTCTGTTCTCTTTCTTTCCTGTTTCTTTCGTTCTTTCTTTCTGTCTTGCTTTCGTTCGTTCTTTCTTTTCTTTTCTTTCTTCTTTCTTTCGTTCTTTCTTGTCTTGCTTTCTTTCTTTTCTTTCCTTCTTCTCTTCTCTTTCTTTTTCTTCTTCTCTTTTTGTCTCTTCGTTTGCTTTTCTTGCTTCTCTGGTCTTTCTTTTCTTTCTCGTTCTTTCCGTCCTATCTTTCTTGTCGTTTTCTTCTTTTTTCTTTCTTATCTTTCCTCTTTTCTTTCTTTTGTCTTTTTTCTTTCTTTTGTCGTTCTTTCTTCCTTGTTCTTGCTTCCTTCCTTCCTTCCTTACCTTCCTTCCTTCCTTCCTTCCTTCCGTCCTTCCTTTCTTCCTCGCTTCCTTCCTTCCTTCCTCTTCCTTCCTTCCTTTCTGTCTTCCCTTCCTTCCTTCCTTCCTTCCTTCCTATCCCCTTCCTTCCTTCCTTCTTCCTTCTTCCTTCCTTCTTTTTTTCTTTCCTCTTTCTTTCTTTCCTTTCTTCTTCTTTTTTTTCTTCTTTCTTTGCTTTTCTATTCTTCCTCTTTCTTTCTTACTTTATCTTTTCTTTCTTTCTTTCTTTCTTTTCATTATCCCTGTCCTTCCTTCCTTCCTCTCTTCCTTGCCTTGCCTTCCTTCCTTCCTTCCTTCCTTCCTTCTTCCTTCTTTCTTTCTTTCCGTTCCTTGTCTTCTTTCTTTTCTTTCTTTCTTTCTTCGTTCTTCTCTTCTTTCTTTCTTTTCTATCTTTCTTTCTCTCTTCTTTTTCTTTTCTTGTTCTTTGTTTCTTCTTTTCTTTCTTTCTTTCTTTTTTCTTTCTTCTTCTTTCTTTTCTTTGTTCTCTTCTTTTCTTTTCTTTTCGTTCTTCTCTTTTTTTCTCTTTCTTTCTTCTTTCTTTCTTTGTTTGTTTGTTTGTTTCTTTTCTTCTTGTTTCTTTCTTTCTTTTCTTTCTTTCTTTTCCGTTCTTCTTTTCTTATACTTTCTTTCTTTCTTTCTTATTTCTTTCTTTCTTTCTTTTCTCTTTCCTTCCTTTCCTTCTCTTCTGAGGAGGGAGGGCCTTCCTGCCTTCTGCTTCCTTCTTCCTTCCGTCCTTTCCTTTTCCTTCCTTTCCCTTCCTTCCTTCTTCCTTTCCATTCCTTCCTTCCTTCCTTCCTCCTTCCTTCCTTCCGTCTTCCTTCCTCCTTCCCTCCTTCCCCCGTTCCTTCCCTTCGCTTCTTCCTTCTTCCTAGTTCCTTCCTTCCTTCCTTCTTCCTTCTTCCGTCCGTCCCTTCCTTCCTGCTTCCTGCCGTCCTTCTCTTCCTTCCTTCTCCTTTCCTCCTTCCCCTTCCTTCCTGTTGCCTTCCTTCCTTCCTCCTTCGTCCTGTCCTTTCCTTCCTTTTTACTTTGCCCTTCCTCCCTTCCCTTTTTTCCTTTCCTTTTCCTGTTTCCTTCCTTCCTTTCCTCCCCTTACCTACTCCTTTGCCGTCCCCTTCTTCCCTCCTTGTCTTCCGTCCTTCCTCTCCTCTTCCTTCCCTCGTCCTTTCCCGTCCGTCTTCGTCCTTCCTTCTTTCTTTCTTTTGATACATTGTCTCAACAATGACTTGGACCAGGTGCGCTTTTACACACAGAAAACAATGGGAGGGGAGGTCTCAGCCTCTAAAAATGTTCAGCGGTGGGGTGAGGGGGTTGGGGGAGGGGGGGGGGCAGGCGTGGCTCAATGTGCCTAAGCCTTCTTTAAACGCATACTAACAATAATAATATACAGAATGGCAAATAAATTTGCAATGTTAGAAATTATATGAAATGTATGAATAAAAACGTACCCCCACCCCTCCCCCCTCCCCCAAAATAAAAACCTTTTATACATGGTTGGGGGGGGGGGGGGTGGAGGGGTGTGCATTCAAGTAAAAGTAAAAGTCGATTTACACGCCAGTCTTGCGTACCGTATATGAGGCTAGGCTCATATTTTTTGTATAGACCTCGATGGGTGATGATGTGAATATCTTGCCGCACGCCTTTACTTCCAGGACCTTACCGCTACCCTTAAAAAAAACAGCGGATTTGAACCCATGACCTTTGGATCCACAGGCGAGCGTCTAGCCGCTACACTCGGTGGCTACCGGGGGGCATTTAACCCTCTTACAAATGTGTGTGTGTGTGAAGCCAATGTGTGCGCCCCCCTTCCCTTCAGTTTCCAGCGCCCTTGTCTCAGTCTCTACTCGACACTTAGGCAGACTTACCTTGTCTCAGTCTCTACTCGACACTTAGGCAGACTTACCTTGTCTCAGTCTCTACTCGACACTTAGGCAGACTTACCTTGTCTCAGTCTCTACTTGACACTTGAGCAGACTTACCTTGGCTCAATCTCTACTCGACACTTAAGCAGACTTACCTTGGTTCAATTTCTACTGGGCACTTGGGCAGACTTACCTTGGTTCAATTTCTACTGGGCACTTGGGCAGACTTACCTTGGTTCAATTTCTACTGGGCACTTGGGCAGACTTACCTTGGCTCAATCTCTACTCGACGCTTGGGCAGACTTACCTTGGCTCAGTCTCTACTCGACACTTAGGCAGACATACCTTGACTCAGTTTCTACTCGACACTTAGGCAGACTTACCTTGGCTCAATCTCTACTGGACACTTGGGCAGACTTACCTTGGCTCAATCTCTTCTCGACACTTGGGCAGACTTACCTTGGCTCAGTCGCTACTCGACACTTAGGCAGACTTACCTTGGCTCAGCAGTGATTTGGATACGTCGAAATATTCTTCAGTGGCCGAGTGATGGCGTATCTCTTTGAAACGAACTTCTCCTGGTCCTCTCATCGTCTGATCAGTCCAATGGACAAAGGCTTTGCCACGAAATGACATCCGCAAATCTGGATTGAGCAACAATAATTTATCAAACAATAACCCATCAACAGCTGGGCATTACAACCAGATCACGGTCTTGGCTATAGCAAAATTTTTAAAGTTTACAGTTGAGAAGACTCTATAGCGCTTGGCTGTGTCCCACTGGCTCGGTCTCAAAGTACCAACTCCCCTATCTCCAGCGACGATCCTCGAGAATCGAACACATGACCTTCAGAGGGAAAGGTAAAGGGCTTAACAGCTGAGCCCTGGAGACCCCAGTAGGATGAATGAACAAATGAGTCAAGAACTGACATCCCTGCCCTTGTGACATTCCTCTTCTTCTTCATGAACCAACGAAGAATCGATACGCTGATTGTAACAGTTGCAACCTGATTGAAAGTTCGCCTATGCTTTTCTCTCAGTTTTGAATTTCTTCCAGATCCCTACACCCCCAGCCCCCCCCCCCCTCCCACCTCCTTGCTGAATTAGTCTGTCAATGTATGGATGTTCGGACTGTTCTGCTGCACTGTCCACTTGAACACAGTCTTCACCACATCTGCTTTGTCATAAAGTAGCTGATCTCCCAAAGTAGCCAAATAAAAAAAAATCTATCAGCCTCTCATTGGATTGGATTGGATTTTTTACCCCACCAGGACATCACACAAGCGATAAACACCCGATGACACAAAGTGCCACCATGCGGATGAGGATCACCGTGGAGAGGTCCCAGAAACCGCGTTCAGACATTTGGCCATAATGATGACCTGCCTATATTGCGGCCCCTGGCAAAAGCCAGAGTGGGGCTTCAAATAACAAAAAATAACGTCCTAAGAAGGACGAAATAATGCTTCGCCCACCCAAATATCCTAGTCAGAAAAGGGCTGAAGGACGCCGGAAAAGGACGAAGGACGCCGGAAAAGGACGAAGGACGCCGGAAAAGGACGAAGGACGCCGGAAAAGGACGAAGTACGTCAGAAAAGGAAGAAGGACGCCAGTTTCTGTTTATGCTTTATGAGTCTGTTATAAATGACCATATTTTGAGCTGTGCTGCTCTCCAGCCATGAGAAAGCTGCCAATACTGCCTCCACCTGTTTTCTCATACTGGATATTGTATATTAATATAAGTAACCCGTGCTCTTAGTGTACTTGTTTCCATAGCGAGGCGCACACGCCGTCTGAAGGTGACAGGTTCGATTCTCGGCATTGCAACTATAGCTTTCGATGTTTATGTTGTCTAGTGTGTTCTTCTATCTTTCTACTTCTTTCTATGAGTGTCGATCAATATATTTTATGTTACTTTATTCATATATAATATTTAACGGCCTCAGGAGTTCCCCCTCTGTTTATTTACTGGATATTGTGACGTTATTCGTGAGGCTCTCTGTTTTCAAACATCGTCCAGGGGGCTGCGTGGTCTCGAGGCATGGTGTCCCCCTTTAGGGCTAGAGGTTCCGGGCTCAATCCAAGGGCTGGGATTTATTCACGTGGACTTGGACTTCTAGTAATTACCCCTGGTTTCTAGGTAGTGAGACCGGACGCTCGTGTGCATTGTTGCGCACGTAAAAAATCCCTTAGCAGTTGGAAATCAAAAAGAGTAGCCTAATGGCTCTGCCCGGGCAAAAATTTGGAGTTAAAAATCTACCCAAAGCATTTCAGGATCCTCGCTGGTGCTACAGAGCCTCTGCACTGTGCTGAGCTTCTTCTGACTCAGACTTAAGTGAGGAGAAGAACGGAGCACTTATGGGTTACTACCCGTGTGCCATGATTTTGATCCGTTGTTCAAAACTTTTAAACCTTCAAACATTGTCTTTGAAAAAAAAAAAAAATACCACTCACTCTTTCTACCTCACACACACACACACACACACACACACACACGCGCGCACACGCACACCTGGCAATGACCTTCGGTAATCTCTACCTCTCACTGCGCATCAATCTGTATGTATAACGATGTCTCCTGGGTTTGAACTTTCATTGGTTAACTCATGCATTGTTGACTCTGTTTCACCAGCTATCCATTCCCGGCACCCTCGCTCCAAGGTAACTATCACTCTGTGCTGGGCGGCGCTGTAACCCATTCCTCACTATGCGCTATCTTGTCAGTAGTTACAAACATTAAAGATAATGAACTAAATGAATAGAAAGGGACACTGCAAAAATCAGAAAACGTCGTGACGTTATGAAAAGCTATTGATTGAGGCATAATTTAAGAGAGAGATAAGGGAAGGTAAAGGTAGGCAGAGAGAGAGAGAGAGAGAGAGAGAGAGAGAGAGAGAGAGAGGGGGGGGGGGTTTTGACAAAATTCTTCTTGTCTAATGAATAACAAATAATCCCACACAATATTAGATACTGATGTTAGGGCAAAGTTTTCGAATGTTTACAGTAGCCTATGCCAAGCCTCTGAGTTCGAGTAAAAGATGGTTTGGTTTTTTGACGGTGTTACATAAACAGGAACAGACCTAACGTTTCAGCGTAGGTGTCTTGCATCAAAGGAGACAAATTGTGTTTTCAGTTGTAGAGAAGAAACAGTATTTGGTGAAGACATTTGAGCGTCGTATAGTTTTTCTCTGTTTTATTTAAATCTGAGTTTTAAAAGGAATCGAGATATAAATATATATATAAAACCAGTACTGAACTCTATAGGTAGACAACAAATGAATTTATTTGGTCATGTAACAAGACTGGCATCAAACAGTGTGCCACAGAGAGTAATGTTATACCGATACAACTTTAACAGAGCCATGGGTCGACACGCAGAAAATGGACCGCAGAAATATCAGACACTGAAAAGTATTTTTTATGAAGCGAACAGGACCCGTTCCAAAGATTTATTCTTGTCCTGACGCAGCGAGGAATTCCATGAGTAGAAAGAAGAAGCAGCAGAAGAAGAAGAAGAAGAAGAAGAAGAAGAAGAAGAAGAAGAAGAAGAAGATGTTCCAAGAAAGAAGAAGAAGGAAGCCGCCGAAGCGAAGAAGAAAAGAGATGAAGAAGAAGAAGAAGAAGAAGAAGAAAAAGAAGAAGAAGAAGAAAAAGAAGAAGAAGAAGAAGAAGAAGAAAACATGTTCCAAAGAATGGAGCCGCTCACGCGTAGCGGCTAGATGCTCGCCTTCAGGTCCGAAGGCCGTTGGTTTAAACCCGCATCGAGCCATATTTCTTCCATACATGTCCTTGGCTCCCAGGTTGACTCAGCATAAAATGGGTACCAGGTAAAGTCATCAGAAGTAAAGGCAGCCGGCGTGATGTTAAACTATATCATACATCAAGCGCCGATTGGTCTATAAAACAAAATGAAAGCCTAGTTAGTACTGTGTACAAAATATGTCTATGAAAATAGGAAAAAAGGGCCTTTAGTTGAAGATACCACCATTGGGGGTGTGGCTGAAGATATCACCATTGGGGGGGGGGGGGCGCTGAAGATACCACCATTGGGTGAGGGGGGTTGAAGATACCACCATTTTTGGTGGGGGGGGGGGGTGGTTGAAGATACAACCATTGGGGGTGGGGTGGTTGAAGATTCCACCATTGGGGGTGGGGGGGGGGGGGTTTAAGATACCACCATTGGGGGTGAGGGTGGTTGAAGATACCACCATTGGGGGTGGGGGGTTGAAGATACCACCATTGGGGGGGGGGAAGTGGTTGAAGATACCACCATCGTGTAAGTGGTTGAAGATATCACCATTGGGGTTGTAGTTGAAGATACCACCACTGGGGGTGTGGTTGAAGATACCACCACCGGGGGTGGTTGAAGATACCACCATTGGGGGTGTGGTTGAAGATACCACCACCGGGGTGTGGTTGAAGATACCACCATTGGGGGTGTGGTTGAAGATACCACCCTTGGGGGTGTGGTTGAAGATACCACCATTGGGGGTATGGTTGAAGATACCACCATTGGTTATGTGTCACAGTTTGAAGATTACCACCACCATTGGGGGTGTGGTGTGGTTTGCCTATACCACCCTTGGAAAATATTGGGGGTTTGAAGATACCCTCTTACCGTTTTTTCTGGGAAAGGGGGTGGCCTCAGGGGGTGTGGTTGAAGATGACTTCTTCATTGGGGGTGTGGTTTGAAGATAGCCACCCTTTGGTTCTATCAGTGGTTGAACCGACAACCTTCCGATCTGCAGGCGAGCGTCTAGTCGCTAGACACAAAGAGGTTAGGTTATCAGAGATTTGGACATTTCAAAACAGACTATATAACATAATTGCTTTTCATGCCCTTGTGCTGTTTGCTTATCATTAGGGCGACCAAACCAATAGGCTTCTCAAGAGAATTTTAACGATTGGGTATGGACCAATAGAGTAATCTTAGTTTCCTCACCGTTTTTCTAGGTTATTCGGTGGCAAACATCTCAGGGAACGCGTAGTCTTCTCTCGTGTTGTTTAAGTGATTAATAATGATAAATAGAAGAAGAGGAAGTGGCAAATTAATAAAATTATATATTTGACTTAATATATTTATTGTATAAAATAATATATTTAGAGAATACACTTTAAAAGATAGCTTTCTGTTCCTAGCTGAAAGAAGAGATACGTGTGTGTGTGTTTGGGGGGGGGGGGGGGGGGGGGGGCTATTCATTAGCACCTTTCCGTCTTTCCAGACGATAGTGTTATATTGGGCTATGAGGAGGCATGAGACTTACAGCCCATGGCGATGACGAGTGTGACTAGCAAGCCCGCCCGTGTCAAGACAAGTCTTCCACGATGATAGCATGGGATTTCAGGACCATTGTTGTCAACATTTGTGTTTAATCCGTTTCTTTTCAGACACTCAGTTCTCATCCTTTCTGCAATCATTTCTTACTTCACTCTCATTCCCTTTCTGATATGCCCTTTCCATACAACACGGTCCATGGCATTTTGTTCCCATGAGTCCACCTCAATACCTGTATCATTCAGGTCCGGCTTGCACGCATCTTTATATCGTAGTAGAGGTCGGCCTCGACATATTCCTGTCTTTAATTCACCATAAAAGATGTCCTTAGTTACTCTGCCATCCTCCATTCTCCAGGTGTGACCCAGCCACCTGAGCCTTTGTACACTGAGCATGGAAAAGACTGTTGAAGTACCTGCTATTTCCAGTACCTCAGTGTGTGTGATTTTGTCCTGCCACTTAATGCCAAGTATTCTTCTTAGGCATCGCATGTGAAAGCTATATAGCCGTCTCTCCTGGTGCAAATAGATTGACCAAGTTTTACTGCCATAAAGCAGAGTGCTGAGAACACAAGCCTGATAGACAAGGGTTTTTGTTTTAATTGTGAGCTTTCTGCTCATTGTTTGTTGCTGCCTTACCTATCCTGCTGTTGATTTCTTGATCTAGCGATAGTTTACTATTCATTGTGGAACCCAGATAGGTAAAATGGTCTACTGTCTGCAGCTCTTCGCCGTCAATGAAGACTGTAGGTCTGTTATTAACACCTTGCACCATAACCTTTGCCTTCTCTTTGTTGACTGTTAGTCCGAATTCACAGCACGCATCAGCAAATTCAGATAGTAAACATTGCAGCTCCTACTCTGAGTGGGTGGTTATTGTGGCATCATCTGCAAACAGCAGCTCTCTGATAAGTACCTTTCTTATCATGGTTTTGACCTTCAGCCTGCGAGTATTGTAAAGGCTGCCGTCGGATCGAGAATAAATGAATATACCACCCTCCTGATCTCGAAAAGCATGTGTCAAAAGAAGTGAAAAGTATATTCCAAAGAGTAGGGTAGGAGCAGGTACACAACCCAGCTTCACTCCATTTTTGATTACAAACTCTTCCGATGTTACACCTGAAAGTTGTTTGTACCTTTCATACCTGTGTGGAAAGACTCAATAGTACTTAATAGAGTAGGTGGACACCCAATCTTCTTCAGGGCGTTAACTAGACCTTTTCGACTAACCAAATCAAATGCCTTGGTAAGATCAATTAAAGCAACATACAGTGGTTGATTTTGTTCACGGAATTTTTCCTGCAACTGTCGTAATGAAAATATAATATCAGTGGTAGATCGGTTCCCACGAAAGCCACACTGGGACTCTGGGTAAACGCGATCCACCAGGATCTAGTTTTCGCAGAACAATTCTCGCAAGCACTTTTCCAACAGTACACAGCAGTGATATTCACATGTAGTTATTGCAGTCACTCCGATCACCCTTGTTTTTGTACGTAGTTATGATGCTTGCGTCTTTGAAGTCTTGCGGAACCTGTCCCTCTTGCCAGCAGAGTGTTATTAGCTGCTGGATGTGAGGGGTTAGAATGTCTTTCCCAACTCTTGATGATTTCAATAGGAATTCCATCTCTGCCTGGGGCTTTCCCTGAAGCCAATTCATCAGTAGCATTCCCAACTTCTACAACTGTTGGAAATGTGTCCAGATAGTCAAGAGATGGTAGCGTCTTCATGGCATGTAGTGGGGAAGGGGGAGAATGGGGGGGGGGGGGGGGGGGGGGGGGGGGGGGGGCGGCTGGTTTTGGCTCATGACATAATAACAGTAACTACACAAACTTAGAACTCACCTTTAACCTCTGTATTCTTTGCCAGCTCAATTATGACGTGTCCTTGGACGGTCTGTCCGGAGAAGTAGACAGCCTCGGTGTTGGTAAGAACGATCTCGAATATGTTCAGTTTCATGATGGACTCTCTTTGACTCGAATTGTTCTGAAAACTGTTCTGATTAGTCTTCTCCTCACCATCTAGGGTTACATACACATGTCTTCGCCTCACAATCTAGGGTTACATACACATGTCTTCTCCTCACCATCTAGGGTTACATACACATGTCTTCTCCTCACCATCTAGGGTTACATACCCATGTCTTCGCCTCACCATCTAGGGTTAAATAAATATGTCTTCTCACCATCTAAGGTTACATACATATGTCTTCTCCTCACCATCTAAGGTTACATACATATGTCTTCTCCTCACTATCTAAGGTTACATACATATGTCTTCTCCTCACCATCTAGGGTTACATACATATGTCTTCTCCTCACCATCTAAGGTTACATACATATGTCTTCTCCTCACTATCTAGGGTTACATACATATGTCTTCTCCTCACCATCTAAGGTTACATACATATGTCTTCTCCTCACCATCTAGGGTTACATACATATGTCTTCTCCTCACCATCTAGGGTTACATACATATGTCTTCTCCTCATTATCTGGGGTTACATACACATGTCTTCTCCTCAAAACCTAGGGTTACATACACATATCTTCTCCTTACAATCTAGGGTTACATACACGTCTTCTCCTCACAACCTAGGGTTACATACACATATCTTCTCCTCACAACCTAGGGTTACATACACCTGTCTTCTCCCCACCATCTAGGGTTACATACACATCTTCTCCTTACAATCTAGGGTTACATACACGTCATCTCCTCACAACCTAGGGTTACATACACATGTCTTCTCCTCACCATCTAGGGTTACATACACATGTCTTCTCACAATCTAGGGTTACATACACGTCTTCTCCTTACAATCTAGGGTTACATACACGTCTTCTGCTCACCATCTAGGGTTACATACACATGTCTCCTCCTCACCATCTAGGGTTACATACACATGTCTTCTCCTTACAATCTAGGGTTACATACACGTCTTCTCCTCACAATTTAGGGTTACATACACATGTCTTTTCCTTACAATCTAGGGATACATACATATGTCTTCTCACAATCTAGGGTTACATACACATGTCTTCTCCTCACAACCTAGGGTTACATACACGTCTTCTCCTCACAACCTAGGGTTACATACACACGTCTTCTCCTCACAATCTAGGGTTACATACACGTCTTCTCCTCACCATCTAGGGTTACCTACACATGTCTTCTCCTCACAATCTAGGGTTACATCCACATGTCTTCTCCTCACCATCTAGAGTTACATCCACATGTCTTCTCCTCACCCTCTAGGGTTACATACATATGTCTTCCCTTCACAATCTAGGGTTACATACACGTCTTCTCCTTACAATCTAGGGTTACACACACATGTCTTCTCCTCACCATCTAGGGTTACATACGCATGTCTTCTCCTCACAATCTAGGGTTACATACACGTCTTCTCCTTACATTCTTGGGTTACATACAGATGTCTTCTCCTTACAATCTAGGGTTACATACACATGTCTTCTCCTCACATCTAGGGTTACATACACGTCTTCTCCTCACCATCTAGGGTTACATACACATGTTTTTTCCTCACCATCTAGGGTTACATACACATGTCTTCTCCTTACAATCGAGGGTTACATACACGTCTTCTCCTCACAATTTAGGGTTACATACACATGTCTTTTCCTTACAATCTAGGGATACATACATATGTCTTCTCCTCACAATCTAGGGATACATACACATGTTTTCTCCTCACAACCTAGGGTTACATACACGTCTTCTCCTCACAACCTAGGGTTACATACACACGTCTTCTCCTCACAATCTAGGGTTACATACACGTCTTCTCCTCACCATCTAGGGTTACCTACACATGTCTTCTCCTCACAATCTAGGGTTACATACATATGTCTTCTCCTTACAATCTAGGGTTACATACACGTCTTCTCCTCACAACCTAGGGTTACATACACACGTCTTCTCCTTACAATCTAGGGTTACTTACACGTCTTCCCCTCACAATCTAGGGTTACATACACATGTCTTCTCCTCACAACCTAGGGTTACATGTACATCGTGATAGGTGCCTCACATAGTCCCCGTGTGAGTGTGATTTAAATTGCTGAAGCGACCTTCGGCTGTCATAGGGTGAAACACTAGGGGATTCATAGGTGGAGAATAAGGACGTTGTGGTCTTGAGGCATGGTGTCTGCCTCGGGTGCTGAGAGGTTCAATCCCCGGTAAAGGAACACGTAAAAAATTACTTGGCAGTTGGAAATCGAAGAGTAGCCTAACGGGCAAATTTTGGAGTTAAAAATCTAACTAAAGTATTTCAGGATCCTCGCAGGTGCTATGTCTTCTCCTCGCCATCTAGGGCTACATACACATGTCTTCTCCTCACCATCTAGGGTTACATACACATGTCTTCTCCTTACCATCTAGGGTTACATACATATGTCTTCTCCTCACCATCTAGGGTTACATACACATGTCTTCTCCTCACCATCTAGGGTTACATACATATGTCTTCCCTTCACAATCTAGAGTTACATACACGTCTTCTTCTTACAATCTAGGGTTACATACACATGTCTTCTCCTTACAATCTAGGGTTACATACACATGTCTTCTCCTTACAATCTAGGGTTACATACACATGTCTTCTCCTCACCATCTTGGGTTACATACATATGTCTTCCCCTCACCATCTAGGGTTACATACACATGTCTTCTCCTCACCATCTAGGGGCACATACACATCTTCTCCTTACAATCTAGGGTTACATACATATGTCTTCTCCTCACTATCTAGGGTTACATACATATGTCTTCTCCTCACCATCTAGGGTTACATACATATGTCTTCTCCTCACCATCTAGGGTTACATACACATGTCTCCTCCTCACCATCTAGGGTTACATACATATGTCTTCCCTTCACAATCTAGGGTTACATACACGTCTTCTTCTTACAATCTAGGGTTACATACACGTCTTCTCCTTACAATCTAGGGTTACATACACACGTATTCTCCTTACAATCAAGGGTTACATACACATGTCTTCTCCTCATAACCTAGGGTTACATACACATCTTCTCCTTACAATCTAGGGTTACATACACATGTCTTCTCCTTACAATCTAGGGTTACATACACGTCCGTCTTCTCCTCACCATCTAGGGTTACATACACATGTCTTCTCCTCACCATCTAGGGTTACATACACATGTCTTCTCCTTACAATCTAGGGTTACATACACGTCTTCTCCTCACAGTCTAGGGTTACATACACATGTCATCTCCTTACAATCTAGGGATACATACAGATGTCTTCTCCTCACCATCTAGGGTTACATACACATGTCTTCTCCTAACAACCTAGGGTTACATACACATGACTTCTCCTAACAAACTAGGGTTACATACACACAACTTCTCCTCACAATCTAGGGTTACATACACGTCTTCTCCTCACAACCTAGGGTTACATACACATGTCTTCTCCTCACAACCTAGGGTTACATACACACGTCTTCTCCTCACAACCTAGGGTTACATACACACGTCTTCTCCTCACAATCTAGGGTTACATACACACGTCTTCTCCTCACCATCTAGGGTTACCTACATATGTCTTCTCCTCACCATCTAGGGTTACGTACACGTCTTCTCCTCACAATCTAGGGTTACATACACATGTCTTCTCCTCACAATCTAGGGTTACGTACACGTCTTCTCCTCACAACCTAGGGTTACATACACACGTCTTCTCCTTACAATCTAGGGTTACATACACGTCTTCCCCTCACAATCTAGGGTTACATACACATGTCTTCTCCTCACAACCTAGGGTTACAAAAACATCGTGATAGGTGCCTCACGTAGTCCCCGTGTGTTTGTGATTTAAATTGCTGAAGCGACCTTCGGCTGTCATACGGTGAAACACTAGGGGATTCATAGGTGGAGAATAAGGACGTTGTGGTCTCGAGGCATGGTGTCTGCCTCGGGTGCTGGAGGTTCCGGGTTCAATCCCCGGTAAAGGAACACGTAAAAAATTACTTGGCAGTTGGAAATCGAAGAGTAGCCTAACGGGCAAATTTTGGAGTTAAAAATCTAACTAAAGTATTTCAGGGTCCTCGCAGGCGCTACAAAGTCTGTGCACTGTGCTGAGCTTCTTCGGACTCAGGCTTGAGTTAGAAAAAGAACGGAGCACTTATGGGTTACTACCTGTGTGTCATGATGCCTGGATGCTTTCCCCTATGGCTTGATCTCACTCCGCACAACGGTTAAGTCCCTTGCCGAGTGCGTAACATACAGCCTGTGCTGGATCTTGGTAGAAGCTTACTAAGCTATAGCTTCGGACTTGCCCGACTCTCTAGCGTAGTTGGCTAAACCGGATTGCGCGGTGACCGAGTGACGAACTCCTCGTGGTCCGGGTTCACTCCCGGGGGTAGGCAGAAAAGCCACATTTCTCCCAAATTTACGGTATTTACAATGGAATCATTGCCGAAAGGTTGCGATATCCATAATACTGAGCCTAGGGGTTAACAACTCATGGATTCTGGATACTAATACAAACAAACAAACATAGCTTGGGATTTCACAATTTATGGACGCCTAAACAAATAAACAATTTTCTCCACAAATACAGTTTTCGTTTAAAAAATTTTAAATGCAGTGTTCTTATATTTAACACCCCCCACCCCACCCGCCCCCCCCCCAAATGTTTTAATCTTATTAATTCTATTTTGGGTATTCTATCTCAAGCTTTTATTTATTTTGACTTATTATGGCCTTTTTAAGTGGACTAAAATAATTAGTTTGGTGTACTTCAACTTCCACTTTTTATCAACTTGTGTCATCTCTGTCATCTCTGTCTAAGCTATAACGTAAATATATATTCTACGTATCTTTTGTCGTTGTCTATAATATAATATATATATACAGGAATATTTCAAGACACATTGTCAGCTCTTAGCATCATCTGTATAGAAG